ATCGCTCTTATTAATCCTTATCAGTTGTTAACACTTTTTGTTACCCACCAAATATGCTCCCGTACCGCCCTTTACAACATATCCCAAGGATAACGCCTTACCATTAGGGCTACTGGGCAGCGCATTCTTATCAGTCCATATCAAGTGTTACCACTTTCTGACACCCACCAAATTGTCCCCGTACCTACCCCTACACATACTTAAAATACAGCGCTCCACTGTTGCAGCGAAGCGCGCTATGAATTTCGTGACAACAGACGTACACACACACACATACACGCACAGTACAGTACTCGCCGTTTGAAATCGAAAATTCACGCGAATAACGCGAATCCTCGTTAATTTCGTGAATTCGTTATAACTCGGGTCAGAGTGAAGTATTCCAGAAACGGAAAACACCGTTGAACTCAGCTCTTCAAGCGCTACAAGATGGTGCTAAATATTTTCAGAAAGCTTGATTTCGGAATGCGCCATGCACTCGATTTTCATCTCAAAAAGTAGTTGCTCGCATGTGATGTGTATATAATCCCGCTTATGCGGGCTAACCGCTACACACAAAGAAGGGCCTCAAAACTTACCCCAGAATGCGCCACGTACTCAATCTCATCCACTACATTGTGAGATTAGATGAATGTTATTTTCCGAATTCTTAGATCTTCATTTCGTTTTTAAGCGCTTACTGGCTTTACGTGTTCCCTCTGCTCTCAATATCCCATCCTCTGTATATCAAGTGGAATCTTTGAACAGTTCTCAGCAGGCATAGTGGGCCTATTATGTGACATTTTCCATTTTCAGAGGAGATGTTTTGCAGAAAGCTGTGAAGATAGCGAACAATTTCCTTCACTGTCGTAGACTACGGTCACTTGTCTGTAAGATTATATGGAAACCTTGGTCGCAGGTGAGCGTTCTTCCGTGGTGTGACCCCAAACATCACCCCTTGTCATGCCTTTGCCATTTTTTGTGACATGTTCCATGTTTAGAGCAATGTTATGTAGAAAGCTGTGAAGGCAGCGACGAATTTCCTTCACTGTCGTAGACTACGGTCACTTGTCTGTAGGAATTACATAGAAACCTTGGTCGCAGGTGAGCGTTCCTTCCGTGGTGTGACCCCAAACATCACCCCTTGTCATGCCTTTGCCCCCTAATACGTGACAAGTCCCATTTTTAAAAGAATGTTTTGTAGAACGCTGTAAAGAAAGCGAAGAATTCCCTTCACTGTCGTAG